CGGGCTGAGGTCTGACTGTGTGCCCTGCAGATTCTAGAAGGACATGGGGACTGAGTCGAGAGGATGGTTTCTGTTGGTGCTGTTTGTGTGCTGGCAGCAGGGAGGGCATTCATCAGGGTGACAGTGGGTTCCTGTGTTCTTGTAGGTTCCTGTTTTTCGGGACTTGGGGTTAGAGTTAGCTCAGGGAAGAACATTTCGTGACAGTTCTTTTCTAGCTCTCTCCTCCCCTCACCCACAGAGAGCCAGAGATGCCACGCTGCCCTTTTCTGACACAAATCACAAGCACAGTTCAGATCACAAGACTTACTCAAAAACCTGCTTCCAAATGAAGCTGAGGGGCTGGGGCATGTGTCATCGATCTGTTATTGTGTTTGTTGTATTTTGTTTTGTTTGGCTCGGGGTCCAACTTACTGACCTGACCCTGCGAAGGCAGTAAACATGTGAGTCAGGTGCTCCTCTCTGATCCTTGACACCAGCAGGCCATCGCACACTTCAGTTCATTCCTGACACTAACCGCCGGAAGCAGCGCACACCCCCAGCTTCAGGGCTCCGTCTCACATGGTGCCCCGCCTCCGGTGCCATCCGAAACTGGGTGTCCATGCCACCCACCTTCCTGCGTGGCCAACTACAAATTTGGGGGGGGGTTCTTAGGCTCCTTTTGTCAGTTTCAGTAATGCACTAGAATGAGTCACAGCACTCACGGAAACATTTTATGTGTGTTTTCTGATTCATTACGAAGGCTACAACTCAGGAGCAGCTCGGTGGAAGGGATGCTTAGGGCAAGGCATGTGTGGCTGGGGGCATGGAGCTCCCGTGCCCTCCCGGTGCCCCTGTCCCAGTTCCTCAATGTGTCCCTCAAACCAGAAGCTCTGAGAACCTCATGGTTGAGGGGTCTGACTGGAGGTTTCATTACGTAGGCATTATTCATTAAATCATTGCCCAATGGTGATTAAGTCACTGCATCTGGAGATCGGGGTTAGGGCTGGAAGTGCCATCCCTCTAAGTGTGCCTTGGTCTTTCTGGAACCCATCCCAAAGCTATGTAAGCAATCACAGATAGCCACTTGATTAGCAGAAACTCACGAACGGGGCTCATCACGAATAACAAAAGATAGCTCCAAGATTGTTCAAGAAATTCCAAGGGTTTTAGGACTTTTATGCCAGGAGCCAGTGACCGAGACCAAACATATGTTTTTTAATAACATTGCCGCCCTAAGGGATCGTTGAGCGATAGCAGTATCATTGATGGTGTGTCGATACACACCTTGCGCTGGTTCAGATCTCATCACTGAATCCAGCTCGACGGCAGTTGTACGATGAGGGACGAGCCCACAGTCGCAGGGCCCCTGAGCCACGGAGTGAAAGAGGAGCCCCTTTCCAGGGCTGCCAGCCCAGATCCGGGGTGCAGCGTGTGTCTGCTTCATGTATCGGAACAGCGATATGCCTGCGTGCTTGGCATCCTCCTACAGATTCCATGGGCGTGTCTTCTTTTTCTAAGAACCTCACTTCCCAAAGTGTTCTGTACCTTCAGATGATGAAGTGCTCCTGCTAGGAAAGCCATTTTCCTTGTTGGGTGCACCTTGCTGTTGATTGACAAGTGACGTGAAGCTGCCACACTGGACACACTGGTTCCCAGAGCCGTTCAGAGTCTGCAGGCATCTACTTTCAGTAGGATCTGAAGGAGCTGATAAAGATTACCTAGGATATTGGCCCGCACATGAGCTGCTTGTATGGTGGAGGCCGTTAAAGGGAAAACATACTACGTCTCTTCCCATGATAGCTGTTCTTCCTTGGAAAGGTACCGTTATCAATGGAAACGTGGCAGGAGACATTAAATAATCCTGAAGCCATTGTATTTTGTTCAGTGGTTGTGAGGGACAAACAAACGTGTTTTAAAGCATGTGGGGAAAGAGAGTTTATAGGGAAAGCACACGCTCGCCCTCATACTCGCTTTGCATGAAGCCATTTGCAATGACACCGTGGAAAGCGAAGACACAGCTGCAGAGTGAACACGGAGCTCCAGAGCTCCCATATTGTCTGCATCATGTTCTTCTCACTGACAATGTTTGTTTTAAACTTGTCAAAGAAAAATGAGCAACTGCATATCTTAACAGTAATTTAGCTCATAAAGTGTTCTACACATTACCCTTGTTCCTAATCCATGTTTATTTATGCATGCATTTGTCTTGTAGAAATGAAACCTTTCTTGTCATATTTCTTAGGCAAATATAGTCAGGGCTTTTGGGGTTTCTCGTCGGGTGATCTGCGTGTGCTAACACTAAAGGAAGATTTGAACAGGCTCCTTGTTGTGGACACACCCTTAATTTTGTGCTTGTATTCTTTTTTCT